CCTACAATTAAAAGGCAGGCAACTAATTTTCACTTAAACTACTATAGGCAGAAACAAATTTTCTCCAATATAAACATGAGTCAACAATGAAGCTTAACTACCCTTTCAAGATCACTTCTGCTCTAACCAGATTCAAACTCTAAAGAAAAATGAGCCATGACTGGTTATATTTTAATATGCCATACCTTTTATGTCTTCTAAAATCATATTTAACTAAATATTAATCTAAGTAGATTATGGAATAGATCTGAAGAAAGCGTCTACAAGTCTCGGTTCTACAAAATTTCCTAAAAGCCTATCATGAATCCAATAACTTATAAAGATTAGGAGTTGGTCACTTTCCAAACATTAAAATTTTATACAAGAAAAGAAAAATATGACCCCAGAATTTTTTCTTTAGAATCTAGGGTTCCAGACTTTCTCTGGCCTAGAGGGTGTGGCCCTCTCCTCTCCTTAGTCCAGAGCAACGGATAAAAAGATGCTGGCTGAGCCCAAGAGTCAGGGTTTCCCTTCTATGGGGAAAGGAGGGAAGGATGAAGGAGGCCTAGAGCTGTCTACTGTCTTCTTGTATTCCCTCTCTCCTCTGTTTCTTACTTTTATAAAAGGCCCCTGCATACCTGGACACAGTAAGGTGGTAATCTGTGGCATCTCCTCAGAGCTAGTTTTGAATAAAGTCTCCCTTCTCACCTTGCCTCCTGGGTGGTTGGGGGACGGCAGGAGTGGGGTCAGTAACACCCGTACTATTACCTTGGACTGAGTTTACCCACTTACTTATATGTTATGTATCACCAACAACATGCATGCCTGAGATCTAAAATGACAAGACTCTGCTACCAACATAATAAATATGCTTTGGAGCTATAACTTGTTTCTATTTTAATCCCACATGTGTAAAGTGGACTAAAAGGGCAATCAAAAGATAGTAGAGTACATGTTTAAAAAATAATTGCTTTTTAAAAAAGTCTTAAAAAGGTAAGGTCTTATGTGATAGGTTAAGAAACTTGGGCTGGGGATTTACCTCAGCGGCTCAGCGGCACAGCGCCTGCCTGGCAAGCGCAAGGTCATGAGTTCGGTTCCCAGTACCGGAAAAAAACCAAAATAAAAAAAAAAAAAAGAAACTAAGGCCTGGAGATGTAGCTCAGTGGTAAAGTAGAGCACTTGATGAGCAAGCACAAAGCCCTGGGTTCCATCCTCAGTACCACAATAAATAAATAAATACTAAATAAATTTTAAAAACCACTTCGTCATAATACTAATTGAACCTGGGTCACAGCAAATTAGAACTTTGTTATAAAATTGGAGTTGCACAAATTTTACCACTATAACCTAACAGTTTTAATGTACACTCACTGACACTAGAAAACAAGACTCTGATTTTCTCAAGGTCCCACTGGCAGAAATGATTTGCAATCAATAATAGGCCTTATAAATTCCTGATTTCCTCACCTAAACTTAACTAGCAGGCCTCTAAAACTCAATGAATTTTAACTACAATATCTGCAAATCAGCTAGCATTTTCATTCTATAATAAAACTGCAATGGAGTGCTCAATGACATCCACAGGGGAAGGAAATTTCCCTCTCCTCAAAGTTTGACATTTCAATCTATAAAATTAATTGAAAATAGATTAACAAGAGAAAAGGCATACAAATTTATTATGTGGAAGCACACAGGTGCATGCAAAATATGAGACTAAAAAAGGGACAGGCTGGAGCTGTAGCCCAGTAGTAGAGCACTGACCTAACAAGCACAAGGCCCTGGGTTCCATGCCCAGCACCACAGAAAGGGAATAGGGGAGATTAAACAGCACTCTGAGCTACAGAAAAGACAAGAACTTAGAATCAGGGTGGTGGGGATTGCACGCATTGCAGATAAATTCTTTCAGGTAAAAGCCTCCGAAAAATATGTGACACCGTGTGGCAATCTGCAGAAAGAAGGGGGTATTTGTGATCTTTCTGAGATCCAGACAACGCAAATAAGGTGGCCTCAGAGAATGCCTGTTTGCATAGCAGTTTATTTCACTAATTCAGATTTTTATCTGTAGATTAAACTGTCCTCCACGAAAGGACAGCTTTTCAGAGCTGTTCCTGGGTCCCCCCACCACTCTGAATAGCCATCTGGAAATATGCCTAAAAGACACATTTAAGGGTGGCATATTTAATTTCCCACAACATTCAGAAAATGGAAATACTACGTTTATTTTGATCTAGAGACCTAATTAAGGTCCAAGGTAAGCAGGGGACAGAGAACAAAACACGAGAGCTTCATCTGTGCTAAGCGCCCCGAAGGCAGACAATTATTTGAGGATGAATTTATCTAGGAATTTGGGAGGAGGAGTATTGGGGTTTGAGCTCTGCACCCTGTTCCATTTTTTTATTTTAGATAGGGTCTTGCTAAGTTATCCAGGCAGGCCTCAAACTTACCATCCTCCTGCTTCAGGCTCCCAGAGTGCTGGAATTACAGGTGTTCACCACCATGCCCATTTTATCTAGGAACATCTTTCATAGTCTGAAAGTGACAGTCTTAATAGCAAGGAAATAAATGACTATTAAGAGCCTAGTGAAACATAAGAAATAATTTCTAATATTTGTTGTGCTCTTACTATGTGCTACGCACAGTTAACCTTCACCACTATACTAGGAGGTAGGAGCTTTCAATAACCACACTACAGATGAGGAAGCCTAGAAACATAGTGCTTAAATCACTTGCCTGAAATTCATGTTAAATGTCTGAAATACAAATCCTCTCTTTCTCTAATACAATTATGACCAAGATTGTTTTCATAATTACCATGTAAGTCTACTACTGCTCTCTTCAAAAGGTACTAAAATCCTTTTTAACATAACAAAATCCGCACACTCGAAATAATTTTCATATAATTCACTATTAAAAGTATAAGCCCTTTGAGTTATGAAAATCTTTAAAGCAAGTACTTTCAGCATAACAATTATAAAATGCTAGCCTAATACTTATCTAGTATCTTAATCTAAGTGATAGTTTGTCTCCAATGAGAGTGATCAGCATTTCCACTAACAATGTGGCATACTTTTAAAAACTTATATAAAGGCCCATACAGTTTTACATCATTTCATGTATAAAAGTACTCAACCTTCTCCACCCTTAGAACAGTATCACAAATAATCCCAAAACCATTTACAGTTGGCACTAGCATACATGGTTTAGAAATAAACAATGTGAGTGTGATAAAACAGGAAAAACTCTGGACTGGAGTCCAGAGCATCTGCCCACCATCCTGGCTCCAGCACTAAACAGCAATTTAGTCCCTTCAATTACAAGACTCTGGGCCTTGGTTTCCTGATCTGTAAAATAATCATCTCCACGGCCGACTCTTCCACCTCTGAAAGAAATGTGACTCATGCACATGTATCTTCTTCCAAGCTTCCCATTCTCATTCTGCTTAATACCATTACTTTACACCCAGTAAGCTTTTTCTTTAATTCTACAAGAGGAGAAAAGAGTACAGTCTAAACAAGGTGAGAAGTGAAAGCCTTGCCAACAGCTAGCTTGTCATAGATGATTCTCAAGGTGAGTAATGGAGAAGCCATTACAATGTTAAAAGGTGTTAGGTTTCCAATATCTTAGGCTACTGTTTTGTATTCCAGTACACTCTTTGTAAGGACAAATAGTAAAATTCAAGGACAATAGGGAGAAAATTGTAATTATTCATTAGTTACTCAAGGACTAAAAAGGCCAACTGAACATTAGCACCTTTTTGCAGAAATGTTTTCTCTAGTCAATGAATTAATGGGCAAAGCATGATCTAGGAATTTTTCTAAATTATGTTTAAGTACTCCCTAATAAACAAGCTTTCATTTCATAAACTATACAGTACTCAGCAAATGTAAGGAATTAGTAACACACAAGACCAAGAAAATATTTAAAAGGTGAAAGGTGTAACTATGCAATTCTTAGTGTACTCTCTTCAGTGAAATGAAAACTCTTCCTGGACTGCCACAGAAGTGGATTCTGTGGACAGCCACTACTGGTAGCTAATCCTGGTGTGCCTTGTCTCTGTTCCTAACTCATTCTCAAAAGGGTTATGTAAATGTAAGATTTAAATTAAATTATGCACTTGACATAAAATTCCCAACTGCTAAAAATTCAAGCTGATTTTTTAGTATTACTTTCTAGAGATACTAGCCTACTAACATTTCCTTCCCGGTTCTATGTTTAAAGTTCAAATATTTTAAAACTTCTATAAAACATGTAGTTCAATTTTGCATGACTTGTTTAAAAAAACAAAGCAGGCATAGATTTGTTAATCTTACAGAGTAAATGTCAACAGTAAATTACAATAGTACAGTCCAGCCTATATGTTGAACTGGGAAGTAAACCACCAGCATAGATGGAGAAGCTGCTACAAGAACTCCAAGGTATAGTTGTAAGAATACAACTAGTAACCGATAAAATACAACCAAACATATACATACAATTTTAAATACAGGATCACTGACAAGTCCAAGCAGCAAGCCACCTTTTGGTTGGAATGCCAAAAGAAAATGTCAAAACCTCTTCCTGACTCTGATTCCTCAAGCCTTTCCAAAGTTCAGGACCAAACCGTGCTATACTTACACTGTTTCTTAAGCATCCTTTAAATGCAACTCCCTCTGCACAAAGTCTCTCCGCTTCAGCTAGTCCGATGCCCAAAACCCGATGCCCAAAGCAGCTTAGGAGCCCAAGGAGTTGCAGCGGGGTCTTCCCGGCGCCTGCCTCCGCCTCCCTGCCTCAGCACCTCGGCTTAAAGCCTCCGAGGTGCCCCAGTCGTTTCGCCAGGCATGCTCCCCGTTGCCCCCTCATACTGCACTGGACCTTTTCTCGTCGACCTTGAGGAGCCCCCACATGCAAGCCTCAGAGCCCCAAGTCTCTCGGCCGGCGCCCCCTCGCCTGCACCCCGCGCCCCGTCATTTCCCCCGCAGCCACCCGGATGGCCAAAGCCCTCCCACGAGCCCGGGGCGACCCCTTCCCCTTAGGTGCCCTACCTTCCTCCGACCAGAAAAGCAATTCTCCGGAAACGCCTCAGAGCCTACTACGCACCAGCTCCCACTACGCGCGGCGCGGCTCGCGGGGGCTCTGGGCCGGGGGTCGTCGTCCTCTTCCCGGCCGGCCCATCCCGACCTGAGGCCGGCGCCGCCTGCGCGGGGTGCGGGG